TCACGTTAGTGCACCAGCACCCCTCCACCTGACCACGTTAGTGCACCACCACCCCTCCTCCTGACCATGTTAGTGCACCACTGCCCCTCCACCTGCCCATGTTAGTGCACCACCGCCCCTCTACCTGACCACGTTAGTGCACCACCACCCCTCCTCCTGCCCATGTTAATGCACCACCGCCCCTCCACCTTCTGTGTGCCACACTCCTCAGGGTCGCCTTCTCTGGCCTAGTAACCATTTAGCCTCACTTTAACACCACCAAATCCTCAGACCTGAAATTCACACCAAAGTGCGTTCCTAGGAGACTGATGATGGCCTTGGAGAGCTAGGAAAGATAGACTCTCTAGCAAAAGGATAGTGAGAACCAAGGACCAATTAATAACAACAGTAATTGCTAGTAACTGCCAATTACTTTCCAGTATATCTAGCACTTCCCATTATTTAACTTGATCTCCAGCCAGGGAGGTGGTTGGGGCAGTATTTCCTCTTCCCATTTTATAGGGCAGAGCACTGCAAGGCAGAGGGTAGGAGTCACTAGCGTGGGTCCCTCAGCTGGTAGGTATTACAGTCACAATACTGGCTCCTTGGCTGCTCTTACAGAGCTTTGTTTGCCCAGCACCCCAGGCTGTGTCACTGCTTGACATTAAATGCTGTCTTCCCACAAATGTCTGAAGTCCATTGGAGAGCCACATGGATTCCTGCTGACATGATACTTGTCTTTCAGGCTGTGGAAGACACTGTCTACAATGCCAAGGTCCCCATGAATGCACCCGCTGTGAAGGGCCATTTCTCCTCTTGGAAGCCCAGTGTGTCCAAGAATGTGGGAAAGGATACTTCACGGATCATACAGAGCACAAATGCACAGGTAACTTGGAGCCTGGGCTGAGTACCCTGGAAAGAAGGAAAGGCAGCAAGTAAGTCACACATGCTGCCTCTGACGTAGCCAAGAGCATCTGAATTAGAAGCAGCATGAAAGCTCAGGGGGCTGGGCCCAAGTGATTGATGCCTTTCCATGCATGTCTGCCATATGCTGGTTATAGAGGATACAGGAGTGCAGGCCAATCATTCTCTTGCACAAATCAATATTGTCCCTGAAGATTTTTATGGAAACAAAGCCAATATTTTCTGGAACGTAAAGCTTATATTGACCTCCAATAAAGGGCCCATTGAGGGTGGATCAGCCATATTGATATGGACATAGAATTTTCAGTCTGTAGACTAAATCAGCCATGACTCTGATATGAGCATAATACCCTTGAAGAATAGGATTTGGGGGAGCTACTTAGCGAGATACATTAGAGCTTTTATTATTAAACTAAATCTAAATCCAAAGTATTAATCTCCTTGTGCTCTGGATTATCTTAGAGCACGTCCCCACTTTGTCCTCATCATTTAAAGCTTGGTTCCGTGTGCCCCACTCTAAAGAACACCTGACGTTTCGAACGCCATCGAGCAGGCACAGCATTGTCCATTTCACCAAATCTCTCCCATCTGAACTACCTCATTTGACTTTCATGATGTCTTGGTAAAATATGGCAGACGCTATAAATCCTGTTTTACAAGCGAAAAACAAGAAACTTCAAAGTGTTAAACAAAGCAACATAAGATCAGACATTAAACTCAAGTTTTCTAATTCCAACCCAGGGACCTTTAAACTGTACTGTGCAGCTTCTTTGTAACAAAATCTCAACTAAAAAAGCAGAAAATTAGGCAGTAAACATGAATTCATAGAAAACTATTCGTGTGAACCAAAGAAAGAATCCTGTGATCCTTTAAATATCAGATTCTTCTCATGCATTTAAAATACTGTTGCCACTAGTCACAGTGAGAGTCATGGTGGGCGCAGCACACCTGAGCCCCCTCTGCGTGCCGGGCACTGCTCTAGTCACTTCACATTGTAACATGTGTGATCTTCCCAGCAATTATTTGCATAGGTGCTATTACTGTGCCCATTTTTAAGACAAGAGAATTAGGGCTCAGATTGTTAATAGAACATGCCCAAGGTCAACTGGTGGCGAGTGGTAGAGGAGGGATCATATTCAGAAGGAGCCTGTACGTGTCCTCTGGTAAAGTCAGTATGGCTAACTTTTTAAACAGTCACTTATGGGCAACAGCTCTGGATCTCAGCGTGGAAGGCAGACAGTGCTGTGCTCTCCTGGGCCCCCTTCTGTGGGCAGACCAGCTCCCCATGAAGTTCTGTGAGGACACTGTTAGAGTTCCCTTTGTTCCAGGTGGGGGTCACTTGTCCTGTGCCTCCAGTGCTTCTGTTTGCAGACCCTTTATTTCCCTGTCCCGGGTGGTCCCGGCTGTGTGTCTGTGCCTTGCTGGTGCCTCACACCATGTTCCCTCTCTTCAATAGTCTGCCCTCGAGGGTGCTTGCAGTGCAGCGGCAGGGACCAGTGTCACCTCTGTGACCAGGGGCACCTTCTGAAGAGCGGCCTCTGTGTTTCCAACTGTGTTCCTGGCTCCTCTGCCCACTCCTCTAATGAAACATGTGCTGGTAAGCACTGCTCCTCTGATGGTCTGGTGAATTTACTGGTGATTTCTCTCTGCAAAGGCTGAGTTTACAAATATAATTGATTCATATGATATAAAGGAAAACCCCTGGTGCTGCAAAGGAGAAAGGGACTCTATACATGGTGGGAAACTGGGGAAACTCAACTGCTGTGATCTTTGAAAGGGAAAAGGAAGCCATCTAAGCTCTAAAAGCCACAGCTATTAGATGGAAAGTTTGGCATAAAACATAGCTATGTTCCTGAACTATGTAGCCACGTCATAGAAAATTACATATATGCTGTATTTATGTATATAATTTATTGGTTTACATTTATATTTAAGCTTATAGAGCTAATTATGCCGGGGTGTATTGGTGCACACAGTGGAGATAAATTATAAGCACATAATGGATGGTATGAAGGGCCCGCGCCTTTAGTTCATACATTTGCAGTGGATAGATGGCAAGCTACTCTGTGTGCCATTTAGAACAAGGTGACATGCTAGAGGAATGGTCCCTCGTAACACATGAATGGACACTGCCTTGAACCACAAAGAGAAGCAAAGTTTGATGCGAGAGTGCCGTAGGTGAAGGGAACTTGGGAGTTACAGCACGGCACCGGGCTCTTGGCTTCTGAGCGTTGTTCATCAATAACGGGAGTAATTTTTTAACAGCCGGTCAATTATATTTTTTGCCTCTATATTTTTGGCCCTAAAGATATTAGGACTTCCCCATGAGGAAAAATATCTGTGGCTTATTTTATTTGGACCCTTCTGAAACCCACAAGTACTTACTCCTCTTGGGCCATACTTCAAGCGGACTTACGGAAAGGAATTCCACCTTCATTAAGTCATCCTGCAGTAGACGTGGGGCCCCTGAGACTCGGCATTCCCAGCTGTCCCGTCTGACCCAGTTGGGGAAGGGAATGCACTAGTTTAAGTCCTGGTGAAACAATTTGCAGGACACAGGAAGAACTCTAAATCATGGTGGGAAATCTCTATTTGCCCATCAGATGTTTTATAAGGCTAGAGATTATATAATTTTAAGATCAAGCAGATATATTTCTCCTGAATTCTGAGTGTGAGCCACTGATAATCCTGCTCCACTGTGGACTGATTAACTGGAACGCTTAGAAATGGTATCAAACACTTGCCTTTCTTCTTGCTCTTGTGGGTCTGATGTGGCAGGTCCATTAGGATAGGACAGTGGCTCTATTAGTGTTACCGGGGGAGTTTATGAAATTACTAAGATTGGGATACCTGGCAGCCTGGTAAGATTACCAGAGGCATTTATAAAATTATTAATGCCCTACTCCAAAATAGGTCTCTGGCAGTGGAGACCAACTGTCAGTATTGTTTTAAAAGATCATTGTATGATGATGATGATGATCATTATTATTGAGATGTAATTCAAATGCCATAAAATTTACCCCTTAGGCTCAGCACCTGTGGCTCAAGCGGCTAAGGCACCAGCCATATACACCTGAGCTGGCGGGTTCGAATCCAGCCCGGGCTGCCAAACAACAATGACAGCTGCAACCAAAAAATAGCTGGGTGTTGTGGTGGGCGCCTGTGGTCCCAGCTACTTGGGAGACTTGAGCCCAGGAGTTGGAGGTTGCTGTGAGCTGTGATGCCACAGCACTCTATCCAGAGCAACAGCTTGAGGCTCTGTCTCAAGAAAAAAAAATTTACCCCTTAAAGTATAAAATTTAGTGGTTTTCAGTATATTCAGAAAGTTATACAACTATTACCACTATGTAATACATACTTTCATCACTATATAATGTATTTTCATCACCCTAGAAAGAACCCTTATAACTATTAGCAGCTCCTCCCTACCCCTTCCTCATCCCGACCCCTGGCTCTGATCTACTTCCGTCTCTGTGGATGGGCCTATTTTAGACATTTCACGTAAGTGGAATCATACAGTATGTGACCTTTTATGTCTGGCCTCTTTTACTTAGCATACTATTTTCAAGGTTCATCTGTATTGTAGGAATTATTCCTTTTTCTTTTATAGATGAATAACATTACATTATATGGATATACCACCTTTTGTATATCCATTCGTCAGTGGATGGACACTGGAATTGTTCTCAACTTCTAGTTATTATGAGTAATGCTTCTGTGAACATTTGCATATAAGCTTTTGGGCAAACGTTTGCAGTTCCTTTGGGTATCTACGAAGGAGTGGGATTTCCGGGTCACACAATAACTCTATATTTAATTACTTGAGAAACCACCCATTTTCTGAAGTGAGTGAACCATCTTGTGCTTCTGTCAGTCATACAGGAGGTTCTGATTTCTTGGCTAACACTTTTTGCCATCTCTCCTGGAAGGGAAGTGATATCTTGTCATGATTTTGATTTGCCTTTCCCTGAGGACTCATGAAGTTCAAGGGGACCTGCCAATTGGCCTCTTTGTGTATGTCTTTTGAGAAATTCCTTATTCATTTTTAAAAACTAGTTATTTGCCTTTTATTGTTGAGTTATAGGAATTCTTTGTATGTTTGGGATGCAAATCATTTTTACAGATATATAACTTGCAAGTATCTTCTCCCTTTCTGTGGCTGTCTTTTCTATTTCTTGCTGATGTGCTTTGAAACACAAAAGTTTTTAATTTTGATAATTTCCAGTTTATCTATTTTTTTCTCTTTTCACTTGTGCTTTTCATGTCTTTTCTACAGAAGTATTGCTTAATTACAAAATCACAAAAATTTATTCCTGTCATTTATTCTAATCGTGCTCTTACACTGAAGTCCTAGGTTATACTTCCATGCATCCAGAGGAGACTTCTGGTATCCAGTAGCCCAGAAACTCATCTGTGTAGCTCTAAAACACTGCAAGCCTAACTCTTTTTTTTTAAGGTCATAGCATGGGGTGGGAGGCTGGTTGAAAGGGAAGCTGGAGCTGCCTATGGGTAGGGAACAGGTTGGAGTCAGAGGTAGAGCATGGCAGGAAGTGGGCCTGCTACCTGGCAGGTACTGGAATTGGTGGATACAGTGATGAGGATAGCTACTGGTTTGGAATTAGCAATTGTATTCTCTTTTTTAAATTTTTTTTTTTATTGTTTGGGATTCATTGAGGGTACAAAGAATTAGGTTATACTGATTGCATTTGTTAGATAAAGTCCATCTTATAATTATGTCCTGCCCCCAAGAGGTGTGCCATACACCATGATTCCCCATCCCCCTCTCCTCCCCTCTCTCCACTTACTCATTCCCGTATACCCCCCACCTTGTATTAGCTCATCTGCTGCCTTCATGTTAGAATAGAGTACATTGGATTCTTCCTTCTCCTTTCTTGTGATGCTTTACTAAGAAGGAACACTACATGTGTTCCACCTCCACGTAGGTTAATGCAAAAGATGTAAAGTCTCCATCGTTTTTTAGTGGCTGAATAGTATTCCATGGTATACATATACCACAGGTTTTAATCCATTCCTGGGTCGGTGAGCATTTAAGCTGTTTCCATATATTGGCTATTGTAAATTGGGCTGTAATAAACAGTCTAGTGCAAATGTCCTTATGATGAAAGGATTTTTTTTCTTCTGGGTAGATGCCTAGTAAGGGGATTGCAGGATCAAATGGGAGGTCTAATTTGAGTTCTTTGAGGATTTTCCATACTTCCTTCTAATAGGGTTGTATTAGTTTGCAGTCCCACCAGCAGTGTAAAAATGTTTTCTTCTCTCCACATCCACGCCAGCATCTGCAGCTTCGAGACTTTGTGATGTGGGCCATTCTTTTTTTTTAAGCATTTTTTTTAAATTGAATGGTAACTATGTTCATTAATGCACTTCTGGGGTACAGTGTGGGGTTTTCACACACAATCTGAAACACTTCCATCAAACTGGTTAACATAGCCTTTGTGTCATTTTCTTAGTTATTATTTTAAAACGTTCACATTCTGCTCTTAGAAAGATTCACTTGTACCCTTGTAAGATAAACCTCAGAAGTGATCCCTCCAATCCCCCTCCCTCGATGTGGACCATTCTTAATGAGGTTAGGTGATGTCTCAGGGTAGTTTTGATTTGCATTTGTCTGATGATTAGGGATGATGAGCATTTTTTCATATATTTGTTAGCCATTTGTCTGTCTTCTTTAGAGAAAGTTTTATTCATGTCTCTTGCCCAGTGAGATTATTGGGTCTTTTTTTGTTGATTAGTTTGAATTCTCTATAGATCCTATTTATCAAGCTTTTGTCCGGTATATAATATGCAAATATCTTTTCCCATTCTGAAGGTTGTCTGTTTGCTTTGGTTGTTGTTTCCTTAGCTGTACAGAAGCTTTTCAGTTTAATACCCTTTAGTTTATTTATTTTGTTGTTGCAATTGCCACAGAAGTCTTCTTCATAAATTCTTTCCCCCAGCCATTATTTTCCTTTTCCCCACACTTTCTTCAAGGATTTTTATTGTTTCATGCATTAGGTTTAAATTTCTATCCATCTTGAGTCAGTTTTTCTAAGTGGTGAGAGGTATGGGGTCCAGTTTTAGTCTTTTATAATGGTTATCCAGTTCTCCCAACACCATTTATTGAATAGGGATTCTTTTCCCCAGTGTACATTCTTGTTTGGTTTATCAAAGATTAGGTGACTGTAAGATGTTAGTTTCATCTCGTGATTTTCAATTCATTTCCAAATGTCAACATCTCTATTTTTGTGCCAGTCCCATGCTGTTTTGATCAGTACTGCCTTGTATTATATAGCCAGAAGTCTGGTAGGGTGATACCACCGGCTTTGTTTTTATTACTAAGAATATCCTTTGCTATACGGGGTTTTTCTGGTTCTATACAACATGAAGAATATTTTTTTCCAAATCTTGAAAGTATGATGATGGTATTTTAATGGGGATTGCATTGAATCTATAGATTACTTCCCTTTTACCTTCCTTAAAAGAAGAATATGGCCATTAGACTTTGGTCCTCCAGGGAATTAGAATGGCCTTCTCCAGCTATCAGAGTGGTTTCCAGGTCATGGCAGGAAAAGACAAATCATACTTACCGTCAGGAGCATGAGGTGCCATGGAGTACGCTGGCGTTCTCCTGGGCCAGTTACCAGAATACCATCTGCAAATTGAAACCAAGTCTGCTTCTTGTTTAGTGTTTTCACTCTGGAAATTGTAAGGGGTGATCCAAAAAGAAATGATCTGATCCATGAATGTGCCGAGGCTAACCTCGAATTCCTATGTTTACCAGGCAAAACACATGCCCCCAGTCTTCACGTGAATGGTTCCCTGACCCTCCCGATTGGTTCTGTGAAGCCGCTGGACTTTTCCCTCCTAAACGTCCAAGACCAGGGCCAACAGGTGGAAGATCTCCTTTTCCACGTTGTGAGCACGCCCACCAATGGCCAGCTAGTGCTCTCGAGAAACGGCAAAGCCATCCAGCTGGACAAGGCCAGCCATTTTAGCTGGAAAGATGTGAATGAGAAGAAAGTGCGTGTTGTACACAGCAGAGAAAAACTCAGGTGACTCGGTGCCCTGCCACTTCCCTGCTTCCTTCCCGTCTCTGCTCTGTCCCTCTCTCAGCCTTTACTTCTTCTTTTTTTTTTTTTTTATTTGTCACACTTTTACTTGATGAAATTTCAATCAGAAGCTAGATAGCTGTCCCTTCTGGTCAGGGAAGATACTCCACATGCACAGAGCTCTCTCAGCTGCCTGTCATCATACCCCATAGGTTGCTCAATGTGCTTCTGTTTGAGGCATTTTCACTTTATCAGATAATTATGGGTAATTCTCTGATGCAAGGGGAAATATCCTAGTAAGATTACCCAGACTTTTCACCCAGCAGAAACAGAAGTGGGTCTAGACCCAGAAGCTGCAGCTGCTGCTTCCAAATCAGGGCAACACGCTGGGAGCAGGGTGGATACAGGCATGGTATGTGCCTTCCAAAATGTTGTGCCATCCCTGGGATGGCAGAGTTGGAAGGAAACTTACAGTCAGAGTTAACTTTTTATTATCCACATTATGAGATTAACTGTGGTTAATTTTTAAGCCTGATCCAGTTTTCCCCTGATGCTTAGCATACTTCTGGCTATCTTTCCCACCCCAGCTGACATATGCTTCAGGAATGCAATTGAATGCTAACACTAGCCCAAGCAAATATAGCCATATAATTAGCAGAGTAAATCTACTCAACTGAAATTAGAGAATGCACCCCCAAGATCAGCCTCTTGGATTATGCTTCCCCCTGCTCCGCTTCACTAGTGCAGATAATTCCGCATAGGCTGTCTGGAGAAGCAGTGAACTGAAGTCTGGGCTGTGATGAGAACACAGTGAATATTTTCTACCATCAATGGTAAACTTGAGATTTTTTTTTTTTTAAACTTTGGCTTAGGAAATAGGTAGGGAGGAAATAGATGGCACTCTCTGTGTTGTAGTTAATAGCCACTGATGCCAGTAACTGCAGAAGACCATATCATAGGAATAAGAACCACTAACATTTATTGAGTGCTAACACTGAGCCATCACGTTAAGCCCTTTACACGAGTTATGTACATTACGTTCCTAGGATACAGATAAGGACACTAAGGCCTTCAAAGTATAAGTAATCTTGCCCTAAACCTTGCAACCTATGAGTGTAAAGCTGAGGCTCCAACCCAAGACTCTGATTCTGCAACATAAGCCTTTAGCCACAATGATTTCTGCTTCCCTAATGTGCCAGGAGCTACAGACATGCTTCCATTGCCCACGGGCGGAGGTCACTGCACAGAGAAGTGCTGCTGTAGAGATGGAGTGGGAAACCCCGGAGTCTGATGCCAGAGACTCACTCTTCAAATTTCTGCCCCATCTCTTACACTCCTTTTTTTCTTTTTAGGGTTATTATTGAGTTAACAAATAGCTAATGGGCACCCCTGAGTGCAAAGCATGAGATGGCAGAGAAGTTGGCGCCCCAGAAGTGTCCAAGTTAAGGTGGGACAGGGTACATCTTAACCTGGACACTTCCAGGGTAGGAGAAGGCATGTGTCACCTGGCACACAGTTGTTCATCTGCTCTTTGTCCTCTGAGAGTAGAGGGGAGAAGAAGTGATATCTGGGGATTCCTGTGAAGGCCTGGAGGGCGCTGGGTCTTCGAAGAGGTGCCAGATTTTGGTGAAGAGTGGAAAGCCCCACACACACAGATGCAGTAGGTCCAGGTTTGCAGACTGCAGTGTGTCTGAGACTGTAGAGTTGCTATTCTGCCATTCATTTTTACTCCAAGTTTTGTTCCTAAGTGTCCCCATCACATGTGCACACGTATACACACACACACACACACAACCGCAGAGCTCTGTGTCTATAGTCATTCGTCATAGAATCACTGGTGAAAAGCAGAAAGCTTCATAGACACCAAAGTTAACCCTCTTGACTATTTAACATCTCATCACCTGTTTTTTTTAAATTTCAGATTAATATAAGGGTGCATGTAATTAGCTTACATTGTTTATGTTTGTTAGGAAAAGTCCAAGTTGTATTTGAGTCCTTCACACGAGGAGGTGTGCCATATACCCCTACATTGTACCCATTAGGTGGGGGCTTACTGGTCTCCTTCCCTCCTTTCCCCTTCTTGAATTTAAATGTGTTTTTCTCTCACGTGGGCCTATAGTTGTTCATCTTACTAGTTTCAATTTATTATTAAGTACATGGGATGCTGCGTGTTTTGCCATCCTTAAGATACCTTACTAAGGAGAATATCCTTCAACTCCATCCAGGTAAGCACAAAAGATGTAAAGTCTCCAGCTTTTTATGGCGGAATGGTATTCTGTGGTCTACATGTGCCACCCTTTCTTAATCCGTTCATGGGTTGATGAACACTTGAGTTGTTTCCACAATTATGTGCTTGTGAATTGAGCAGTAGTAAACATTTGAGTACACCCGTTTTCTTGTACAATCTTAGCTTTACACCCCTAAACAGGACAAGGAATGGTAGTTTCGAAAATTCTTGCAGTCCTGTTTTGGAGTACCCATTTTCCTTCTGTATTTTCTTTACCTAAAAATTCAAGCAAAAGAAAGAATGAGAGGAATGGTAAAATGAGGCTCGTAGAAATTCATGAAAAAATGAACTAATTAAGTCCCTGAATAATACAAAAGGGCAGCCTACATAAGTGTGTGTTGTGTTTGTCTTCATGAGTATACCAACCATGATTCTTAGGATGGGACTCCGTTGGGTCTGCGATGGTCCTACGGTGTACAAGACAGCTATAAATGTAGCTGTAGTGACCATGAAAAGCTGGCATTGTTCAGACACTGAACACTGTCATTGGAGGCTCAGTGTCTCCCCAAATCAGTTTTCCCTATTTGGTTGGGAGTATCCACGGCTGTGTTCATTCTGCTGCTTTCATTAGTTTTTCATCTTGAGGCCTGGAAGTGGTGGTAGAAAGGGGCAGGATTTATTTAAACAGGGCAGAAAACGAAGGGCGGCTGCAAAGGGAAGGTAGACAAAAAATATCTTTTTAAAAAATTAGGTTTATTAAGGTATAATTTGTGCATTCAGTAAAATTCCCTGTTTTAGAGGGTTAAAATTCCCCCTTTTAGGAGAGTTAAAAAATGTGTACAGACTTGATGTCCTGTGACCACAACCACAGTCAAAATATAAAGCAGTTTTGTTACTCAAAAAATTTCCTTTTTACCTTTAATCCCATTCCCCTGGTCCCTGGACGCCACTGGCCTGCTTTTTACCCCTTTAATTTTGTCCTTTGAAGATGTCATGTGAGCGGAATCTGTGTCTTGTCTCTTGTTTCTAGCTTTTGCTATAATGCTTTTGAGATTTGTCCACATTCTTTCATGTATAAATAACTGGTTCTGAGAACACCTTTGAAAAAACCTTTAAACCAATAGTACCTATAGTGCACCAGAATTCAACCCTTCCCATAAAGCACTGGTCACACATCTCACCAGCCAGCAGCGACCTCTGTTTTTGGCTTGGTTTTCAAGGTAGACATTGTTAACTTTCCTTTCTAGCAGTCTCTGAAGCTCCTGGAATAGCACTTTTACAGGAAATAAGAACCATCATGAAGATGAGCCTTACTTTATTATTAATCTAGACTCTTTGGCTACAAATAATGGAAGTCAACTTGAATTAGATTAAGCAAAATAGTAAAGCTCGTGTGATCTTGCAGAGGTGGCTCAGCTCTCAGACACCAAGGACAGCCATGCTCCAAGGCAAATCTGAAAGCTTCAACTTTCCCCTTATCCCCATGTCTCTCCACACAGGCTTCATTCCTCTCCCTCTTACAGACAGGCTTATTCCAGACTCACATCAACAGGTAGACTCCAGTTGCCCCACAGTTAAATGGTGAGACTGACTGCTTGCTGGCTCTCAGGCCAATTCCAAATTTCTAGGACAAAATGGGCCAACCCTCCCTCCCTCATCCTTTCCACAATGGGAAGGGATAATCATGTAATGTAGACATTTTGAACATTATTGTTGTGGCCCAGTCACATGAATTGGGCAGGAATTGGAGAGAGGGTTTGTTGATCAGAGACCGTAAAAGATTCCTTTCCATTCTACAGTTTAACCATTGGCCTATAGTACACTACTAACCTGTCTTGACCTGACAACTAATATTTCAGTCTTATATATGGTTTAGAAAAATAGGAAACAAAATTTTTACCTAATTATTGTTATAATTATGTTATAAGGAGTCTAAGAATACAGTATTTTTTGCCTGTATCTCACTTTGTTCATCTTTATTTGGTAGTTTTTATTTATAGTGTTACATTACTATTGTGGTTTATCCAAATTCTTATCTACACATTATCTGAAAATATTTTAACCCTTATTTTTGTAAAGAATAACATAATGATTGTATTTTCTCATTTCTTTTTCCTTTGGGGACTTCTTCAGGAAAGGTTACTTTTTCCTGAAAATTAGCGACCAGCAGTTCTTCTCTGAACCACAGCTGATCAACATACAAGCATTTTCAACACAGGTAATAAAAATGCCAAGCTATTAATAATTGCACATGCCTGCTGATTTGAACCTCAAGCACAAACCAAGGTGCTTGCTGTTTTAGCAGAAATGATTGAGCTAGAGTACTAATCTTGTCTTATTTTCCTTATGAATGCCACTGGAGTGATTTTTAGTATTTTTGAGTATTAATAGCAGCCACAATAATTACTAACACACCTATAGTACCCTCTTCATGTTTCACATAAGTAACTCAGTCAGTCCTCATGCCAATGTTATAAGGTAGTATTATCCCCAATTTTTTCCTCAGATGAGGAAACTGAGTCACAGGGAGGTCAAGCAGCTCGTCAGTAGTTATGTGGCTAAAAAATAGAGTCCAGATTTGTGCCCAGTAAATCTGTCTATGGAGTCTGTGTCTAAACTATTATGTAATGGTGCCCCACTTTATCTTACTGAATCTGATATTAGCCTTTCTGAAATTTGAATCTGTTTCTGATTTTAGTTATTTTGAAGTAAATGAGTCTGTTGTAGTGGAATATTTCTCCCTCAGATATGTGGAATTGGCATCAGTTAGAGCATTTCATGAAGGAGCAGCTTCAGTGTGGTGCCGCGTGGGCCTCAGACAGACCCGGGGGGAGGAGTTCACGGTGGACGCCGTGGAGCGGGCGGTGCCGCGTGGGCCTCACACAGACCCCGGGGGTAGGAGTTCACGGTGGACGCCGTGGAGCGGGCGGTGCCGCGTGGGCCTCAGACAGACCCGGGGGGAGGAATTCACGGTGGACGCCGTGAAGCCGGAGTGCTGGCTCTTGGGGCTCATCTCTCATGGTTCATCTCTGTCGAGTTGCTCTTATGCATCTACAGTATGTGTGGTTGTAGATGCTCTGAGAACCGGGCCTGAGGGATTGGGCGGCTGGAATGTACAAAGAGAATCAAGAAATAGATACAGCCACATGTTGTGAAGAACAAGAAACTGTTGGGGGTGGGACATCCGTCCAGGGAAGCAAAACCAAATCAATTTTGGATCTCAGTATTCTGTCAGTCATGATTCAAAATGGATACTAGATTATTGCTTTTAAACTGATATTTTTATATCTTTGGTCCAAAAATGGAAGGTCCTTAGGTCAAGGATAATAGCATGGACTTGAACCAGAAGTGGCTGCCAAATGGTATTAAGATCCCTGTTTGACTCTCATTTTTTTTCTTCCCCTTTCCTTCTCTCCGCTTGACTCTTCCTCATGGTATTATCACATCAGGGATAACTTGTTTAAGAGTGAGTAGAAACTGATACCAAGATAATTTGATCTCACAGATGGACCAAAGTAAAATTTTGTTTTAATTAAAGCTAAGACATGTGATCTCTGTAAATACAGGCCAGAGGGCCACATCAGTTTTCGGAATTACGGCTTAGATGTTTCTCAGCACTTAGACTCAGAAGTTTTGTTTTGTTTTTTCCGTCTGGGCAGGGAGCATCATTCCAGGGAGAGACATAAGGTAGCCACGGCAAGTGTTCCTAATCTGGGTGTTGCACTCCATGGTTCCTTGAGTTTTGTTTGTTTTCTCATAATCAGGTGAGCAGATAATGAGGGCATATTTTAACTTTATTATATGGGAAATTTCTACCATTTTAACTTTAAAAAAAAATGGAATTTTAGAAAAGGACTTTAACTTATTTTTGTTCCTTTAAATTACTGTGATATTTCAGTATAGGCTTGAGTATCCCTGAGATTTTCTCATGTGAGTTAATTTGGTCTTTTCCTTTTATGGGTTTGGACGTCACCTTTGATCTTTCCTCTTTCAGGAAGATGAAGAGCCATTCATTCCCCTATGTAGAATCACAGCTTTAGAATTCTCACATGAGGATTCTGAGGAGCAGCTATCATCTAATTTCCTACTATGTGGTTATTATAATGATGCATTAGTTACACATTAATTTAATAGAGACTGTAATTTCCAGGTGGCCAGGAGAGTGCTTGGGTAGTTTAAAAAATTTTTTTGGATTAAAGCAGGTATTGTATTGAGAAAAGTCCTAACTGGTTAAACTTTAAACGATATAAAAAGCTGAGATAATGTTTTCTTTGGCTTCTGGCCTCACTTTTCTTTTTTCTGTTGTGGTTCATTAACTTTTATCTTTATGAAAGAATGTTTTATCTGCTTACTCAAGTTGGCAGGAGGAAACCTGACAGTCCTAAGGAAAACACATTAAACTTCACTGTATCAGCAGTGCCACGTGAATTACCCAGGAACAGGTGGTCGCCTTACTCACCTGGACTTGTCAGTCTTTATAACCTGAGTTGGGGTGGGGCTCGATCAAGATTTGGATGAGCAAGCCTGGAGAAAATGACTAAGAGGAGCCAGAAATAGCATGAATCTTACTCTGAACCAGCACACTGCAGCTTATGCTGGAGTCAAGTGCTTACCTTCCAAATGCAAATCCAGAACTCCCATGCCTCTTGTTCATGGGATATAGTGTACTTGGGATATAGTGTAAATCAGGAAAGCTTAGAAATCAGAGATTTAGAAGCAAACAGCTCTCATCACTTGCTTCTCACTAAGTCTTAAAGTGGCTTGAGAAACTTCTAGACCCCAGAGGTGTGAAGCAACCTCATTTGCCACAATTATGGAAAGCGGACACTGTGGAGCGGGCGGTGCCGCGTGGGCCTCAGACAGAAGGAAAGGGGAAGACTTATTATGACAGACCTCACCTCTGACAAACACTGTCACCATGGAACAGTGTGACACTTTGCTAGAGCACTAGTAGGTTCTTCAAAGACATCAGATATTTAGTCCCCTGGATTATCCTCTCTTTCCTTACTAAATGACTTCCCCTCCTTCCCTTCAACTCCACAGGCCCCCTATGTGCTGAGAAATGAAGTTCTCCATGTTAGCAGGGGAGAGACGGGAACCATCACCAGCCAGCTGCTTGACATCCGAGATGATGACAACCCACAAGATGTGGTCGTCCAAGTGCTTGATCCTCCACTTCATGGCCAGTTGCTCCAGATGCATCAGTCCCATGCAGCCCCTGTCTATCAGTTCCAGCTGGATGAACTCTCCAGGGGCCTTCTCCACTATGCCCATGATGGCTCAGAGAGCACATCCGATGCTGCAGTCTTACAGGCCAGCGATGGACACTCCTTCAAAAATATACTGTTCCACGTGAAGACCGAGCCCAAGGTAGGTGTTATTCCAAGCGTTAGTTTCCTAGCATCTAGATGTGAAGTTCTAGTAAAAATGTTATTCTACATTACTCATAAAGTTAAGATATAGGCAGTTATTCCTTTATTCAAATATAGCCTGTTATGAAGGTGCTTAATAAGCATGCACTATATAGGTGGCAGTATATATTTTGTTATTTTATTAGGAGCATCCTTGATGTAAAAGTACTGGCCCGTGTTCACTACAAAAATGTGACACTTTGGAACCATTTTTGTTGACCTACTGCTATGAATAAATGTGTTATTATCCACTGCTCCTTTTGTCTCCTAAGTAAAATCCTAAGAATCAAAAAGTATCCCTGGTTTTATCTGCCCTTCAGAACAGCTCATGAACTGTGAAGTTCATAGATAATCTTAATATCTGAAAGGGTGAGATCAGCCATCCTGTTAGTCCAACTAACGTAGGATGTGCAAACTCTTTTCGTAATTATAGGGCTCTTTGGTGTGGGGAGTAGGGGCTCAGTAAAGAGCTCTGCTGCTCGGCCTAAGTCATTGGCAAGCCACCTTTGTAGATTTTACCAGATCCACAAGCACCTGTACTATCATTTACTTCATATTTGTCCTCGAAGCACTTCTTTTATTGTGGCTTCCTCTTAATAAATAACACTTGTGAAATCATGGGCTTAATGTAGAAATATACTTTGTTTCTAAAATACTAAAATTAATGCATTAACATTCTACAAAATTTTGTCAATGTATCACATAAAATGTCCTTGGCTACTCAAGCTGAGATGGCTATGACACTTTAGGAAGTACTAGACTAACCCATGCTAGACTACAGAGACCTGTGGAAATCATTTATAAAACTTGATAGTTTTCATTGAAAACCCTTTTATCAGGTGCATTGAGAGTAAGTCTTTCTCATGGTAGTAGACTGGGAAATATAAATTTTTGAAAACTTTTTATTTCAAATATCACTGCCTACTGAGGTATCATTAGCTGGAGAGATGGATCGGCTGAGGATAGTTTAAAGTCATTGTCACTGTCTCACCATTGCTTACTCAAAATCTGCAATTGAGCCTCATGAAGATGAACAGCTAATTCCTCTGTTTCCTGTCTCATTATTTTTAGCTGCTGAAAACCATGATGGTGGCATGAGAGTACGGGAGTAAGTGAAGGCTGGTTATGAGACAGAGTTGGCAGATAGCCACCTTGTAGCTAATTATCACCCTCTTGCAATTGCTCTGGGAGATGAGGCTTAGTTCTGGAGAGATGAAGTCTAAATAGGCAGGGAGAGTTTTCTTTTCTTTCTTCTTGGTTTCTTTCCAGAGGAGGCTACAAGATTTCCGTGCTACTCTAACAGCTGCCCTTTGTACTGGGTTTGAGTCTCGGTGTTGAAAGCTCAGTTCAGTGTATCACAGTCATTTTTTGTGGAATGGCTCAAGATTGAAGGGCATTTATAGGATTTTAGCTGTTTCAACTATAGAAACAAAACAAAGAAAAATGGGTACAAGACACAGAGTTTGGAATCCCTGCAGCCTGATGACTGTGAGTCACACAGGTACTTACTGTGTCTGTTTGTGATTCCTGGAAGGGAGTTTAGCTTCTCCTTTCCATCCCTCTGTCTCCCCGAATGCTGCACTTACCTATCCAAGTGATCTGTGATGGATTAATGAAACCAGTAACCTCAGCCTCCATCAGGATGTGCTAATAATAAATTTGACTATAATGATAATATAATACAAATATATACCATTTTTCCTTTTAGGAATTCAAAATACTTTAGCTAATCTATTCTACTAATACTTACACTGTCTTAGTGAAGAAAGTTAGAATAGAGACTATTTAACCTTATTTCTTCTAACAGAAATTCTCTGGGTGGAAGGTTTTTTGGTTTTAACATTTATTGGGCACTAAAGCTTATGGAAATTATTCCATTTGATCCTCACAATCACTTTATGATATTTATCCAGTTATTATCTCCAATTTTTCCAAAAAGGAAATTAAAGTGCAACGAGATTTAAAAACAGGCATTTCATAAAGGTATTCAGTGCTGGAGCTGTGATTTCAGCTCAAGTGTGTCTGCCTCCTCCACCCAACCATGATTTCCATGTTTTGGTCACATAAATTCTTATCTCCTTAATGGATAGAATGGAAACAGCAATGTAGTTATTTTCTCAGTGTTCTATCCAAGCGGGCTGAACCCCAAGTGCCTCCTGTAATCTTTCCTATGAACCTACCACACCTCATCACAAGTGAGGGTATTTATCAGTCTAGTGGGGCCAAGAAGAAAAAAATACCTCACTTGGTATGGCTTCCAATAGAAGTGGGGTCAGACATGATTGATTTTGTTCTAATAGCCATTTCTGAGGATGGGCATGTAGGTACTTACCCCGTGTGGCTCCCGATGTATTAAATCTGGAGCGAGGCCAATTATTGGCTGATGTCTAGCTGATGATTTAAATGGAATGACAGGTGGTTTTGGTTTAATTCCTAGTGTGTGACATATGAATTTATCCTAACTGAACTGAAAACTTAACCTGGCAAGGTAGATAAAAAGGGACAGAAAAAGAAGGCTTTGTGAGAAGAGGGACTATTCCAGACTTACTGTCTTGAGCAAGGCTCATCGTAGGAGTTGAGTACATTTTTGTTGGACGGATATAGGGGCTTGAGTGAGGCTGGCACCTGTGTCCCTGCCTTCCACTCCATCTCCTGCGTCAGATGAGAAGCCCCAAGGCACCTCAGCTGGTGCTGGCATGGCCCATCTGGGACTGAGTAGAGGAGCTGTCAGTTCAACCCTTATTTTTCAAATTCAACCTCACTTCACCCAAACTTATGTTTTTATCATTGACTGCCATCTCCAACCTTATGCTGAGTTGCTGAGGAGGAAATAGAGCCAGGACTGAGTTTGAAACATGTTCTGTTGAGGGAAGGAGGGGGGAAAAAGATTTAAAAGTTGTAAAGAGTGTTCTGCTGAGCAGGCTTTCATTAATTGGGTGGATTACCAAACCCAAGCCTGCCAGAGATAGGATTCTAAAGCAATTGACGTCTAATAATGGCTAAAATGTGGGCAGGGAAACGTCATGTTTATTGGTGGGCTTCTCTTGACTACTGGGCTTTCAAGGAATTGACTTCTTTTTCATTAATTAAGCTGCCTCTGCAAATAATACCCTTTTTCTACTCTGGCAATAAACCTGACAGTGTTTCTAACCTCCTTTGTTGTGCTCTAAGCAGTTATTTTCTGCAACTGGGTAATGCGTTAATGTTAAAAGCCCCCAAGAGTCATGCTATGAACTACGTGGAAACTTCTGCTCAGGGTCCTTCCTTGCCGTTTATCTGTGGTAAGGCCCATAAACAGCTAAGAAGCTCTCACGTGTTTTCTCCCAATTTCATTGATTCCTACCTCTCAATGGTTGAACTGCAAGGACATAGTTCAATGATAATGATGTTTATGAGAGTATTAATGGCACAAAAAATGCTTTTTTAATAAAATGAATAAGAGTCTAGGTCATAAATAAATAAATCCTTATACATGTTAGGATTTCACTATATTTGAGGCCTTGCTTACCTTATTCAGTTTGATGTCTCATAAGAAAAGAGATGAGTCAAAATTTGTTGATTAAAAATAAGTCTGGGCCAGACACAGTGGCTCACATCTGTAATCCTAGCACTTTGGGAAGCTGAGACGAGAGCATCACTTGAGGCCATGAGCTCAAGACCAGAATGAGCAAGAGCGAGACTCCATCCCTAAAAAATAGCTAGGTGTTGTGGCAGGTGCCTGTAGTCCCACCTACCTGGGAGGCTGAGGAAAGAGGATCCCTTGAGTCCAAGAGTTTGAGGTTGCTGTGAGCTATGACACCAGAGCACTCTACCCAGAGTAACAAAGTGAGACTCTGTCTCGAAAAAAAAAAAAAAAAGCAAAGATTAGCCGGGTGTGGTGGTGCACGTCTGTAGTTCTACCCAGGAGGCTGAGGCAGGAGGATTGCTTAAACTCAGGTGTTTGAAGTTGCAGTGGACCTATGATGATGCCACTGCAGTCTAGCCTGGGTGATGGAGTAAGACCCTGTCTCAAACATACACATATCTAAGTGGAAATCCACGTGAGAAAAGTTATTATTTGCTTGATCTAAAGTAGCAAGCTTCTGAAGCTCATGCAGATATTAATAAACACAAAAACAGTCCAATTATCTTTTCCTCTTTCTTTTTGCTGGTAAATTTCACCTTATATCCAGCACCCCACATGCCACTTCCCTGAAGTCCACAAGTCCTACAAGGTTAAATTTTAAAGCTCTGGTATAATTGAACTCTTGCAAATTACAGCAGATTTTTATAGAATAAGTAAAATGTTAGGGTTGCTATTATGTCCAACTGTAAGTCACTTTCTATTTAGTGAAATTTAAAATTTTTTCACCTTGAATATTTTAGCCTGGTTTTGGGGTATACTATCATTTGAGGTAAAACCTAGTCATTTATGGCTCAACTTTTAATGTGGTAAAGGAAGATTTGTATTTTGTTTGTGAGGTTTTTTTTCTCCAAAAGATAGAGGCTCATGCACTTACTTCTGGTTTATAACATTATTATTTTTACTTGTAGTATGATATGTAATGGCTACGTTTTATTATGAACATTTCTGTGTGCCTATTGTGCTATGAAATGAATTAGAAGAACTATTTAATTTAAAGCAGTGTTTTAATCATGCCCCCAGTTCTACTTGGTGGGCTTTTATTGCCTGCTAATGTAGTGCTCTGGAGGATATATAAAGCGTTACTGGACAGATTATTCAGCTGGTAATTTAGCTAATATCTTGAGCTGACAGAGATATATACACCATTGTGTTGAAAGAAAAAGCTATAAGAAGGAAAAAAAATTCTAAAATGTCAGAACCATTGGGGAAATTATTTTAAAATTTGACTTTTTGGATACCATAGCTGTAGAAAAGATAGTATATACCCTTCTCTCCATCGCTCTTGAATCTTCCCTAGACCCTGTCCCAAAATAAAACAACAGGAAAAAAAAATA